ACGAGTTCGCGAACTTTGGCGACCTCCTTGACGACATAAAACAAGAATAAAAGTGGGGCTTATGATCCAGGGGCATGGATATTAATGACACGTTTGAAAATTCACCCCTCCTAAAAGCTACACTTTAGGGGTGCCATACCGGGAATTCAAAGTGGGGAATAACGTTGTCTATCAGCCCCCAAAGCCTCGGCGTGGGGCCTATGATACATGCAAAAACCCTCTCGCCTCCAGGTCTAAACGCTATCGTTGTCAACATATACAGTTTTCAACCGATTCATTTTTTTTTTCAGCAGAAAGAGTACCTACTGAAAGGTCTTCGTTAACTCAAATTTTCAGGACATACTATGTTTTATATTTCATGTTAAACATTTTGGAATATCTGTAGCGCTTTTTTCCGATTCGATGTGATGCTTTCAGCATCCTTCGATTAGGATAATAGCAAAATTTCATTGGAAAATCTGGCAACAATGTTATGATAACATTGATTTTTGTGACATACTATTTTTTATGAATATTTTAGACAAATTCTGAGGAGCGGCATCAATATCAACACGATTGAAGGAAATCATTGGGGTTCCTGATGGGTAGACATGCGAATTCACAAACAATAATATCGAATTATAACATCTTGAATGATATTTTATGGAAAAGATTTATTACCTCTTTCCAAAAAGGTACCATGACTCTTAAACTGAAGAATAATACCAGAAATGTTTCCGCTCCTCAGAATTTGTCTTAAATATTCTTGAAAATGGTATGTACTATGCCCTGAGAATTGGAATTGTATTCTGCAAATTTGTGTGACAGTCGATTTTTTGATACCCACTCTTTATACTGAAATAACAAAAATGAGTGGGTTGAAAACTGCAGATTTCATAAGGATACACGGCGGTCTTACGAGTAACATTGTATTGATGGAAGAATTGTCTTTGGTTGTCTCTGAGTTTTCACTAGTCACACTTTTTAGTTGATACAAGGAAGTGGAAACATAATTTTTTTACTGAAGTGACATTTCAACTCATACAAAATTAGTGGAATTAAGTAAGTCCCAAGTCAGGAAGCAGTTGATATTTGTGAAGGTAGGTATTCATGACATATAACATTGAAACACAACCTCACTTTCCTTATTTGTTGACAAATGCTCATGCCATCACATTGTGCTGTTGTAAAATGCACAAAAAATGCAGCGAGAGACGAAGGAATCCGGTTGGTACATTATGATTTAAAAGTAAGTATACGTACTATAGTCACTCACATATAGTTTTCATTTCGAAATTTGGTAATTTATCATCGGAATTCCTTCTGCAATAGGAGCAAATAGAAATACTCGTGAAATTTCTAAAAGAATGCTAGATTGGATTCATGCAATCAAACGGAAGGACCGGTCTGACATGCTGACGAAATATGTCATGTATTTGGGATTTTAATAAGAAATGACAGAATTCCATAAAGAAAACCATGTGAGAGATTACCATTCACCTGAGAAATCATATTCCTTCGTCTCTTGAGGCATTTTTTGTGTATTGTACATCAGCACGCAATGAGAATAAGGCATGCTTGAATTAATGAATAGCGCAAAAAACACGATTCGTATGCCAAAATATTGTGAAAAACCATTTCAATCCGTTGATCCCTCTGTGTGAACAAATAAAAAAGTAAGGTTGTGTTTCACTGTTTCAAAGAAAAGTGAGGTTGTGTTTCAATATTTCATCCCCAGGGTCGGTCATTGTGCACGCGATCTATAGGTTTGACATAAATGTCCATTGGAAATATCAATTATTATGATGAAAAAAATCTGAAGGTGAAACTTGAAGAATGAAATTTGACTGTCATAGATTGGAGGTTGTATGAAGTTTTCAAAGGTGAAAATATGGTGTCATAGATTGGGGGCTGCATACAGTATTCGAAGGTGAAAATATGAAGTATTTTTTCAAATCAGGGAAATTGTCGGATAACCTAAACCGAAGGAGTATATTATTCTATGGTATAGTTTAGGATAAGAGAACTCAGTAATACCCAATTCAATACACGTTTTATTGGTAAACTCTTATTTTTGTGTATATAGGTATTGCTGTTTTGGCCCACAAATTCAGTTATTAATTGGAATAGGAATTGCGTGTTTTGCTTCCCCCTAATGTGTTTGTCCCTATCATTCAATTTGTTAATTGGTTACGATGGCCATGCCACGCCATGCCAACCATTTTATCGCCTGTTTCATCTAAACGGGCACACGAACAAAGCATTTTCCTATTCCCGAGCGATTTATCAGTTAATTTAAGGATATTAATATAAAATTTCCGACATCAATATCTATGAATAAACAAAAACGGGTACCTACCTATATAATTTTTCATGTTCTGGTTCACGCGAAATGGGATATCCCGTAATGTTCAGAGAACATCGTAAGAACCGAGGGAAATAAGGTAAGGTCTTGAATTTCTGGAGGTTATATGCTTCGGAGAACACCTTCCTTGGCAATGTGTTCCAGAGCCTCGCTGTTCGTTGGATGAACGAATCTTTGGGAAGAGGTGATCTGCTGGTCTCCAAAGTGACCACGAAGGGGTGTGAAGCCTCAAATCGACGGTTTAATCTCGCGAAGACTGCCAAGGGAGGAACAATTGTTGATATTTCAGAAGAGCATCGTCCATGGAAATATCTATAAAATAGAGCCAGATCGCCAACTTTTCTACGGTGCTCAAAAGAAGTGAGTGAGAATTTGTGAGCGAGGCATCACCCACGAGACGAATTGCCCTTTTTTTGGACAGAATCCAACAGTTTCAGTTTTATGTTTGGGTGGGGCACTCCAAATATAGGAACAGTATTCCAGGACAGGTCGGATCTGTGCCTTATAGATCATAAGCAGCTAACTGGAAGTGGAATAGTTCCTAACCCGAAACAGAAAACCAAGTTTTTGAAATGCACTTTTAGCAATTGATCTCACGTGATTTTCTTGAGAAAGGTTATTGCTGATAGTAATACCAAGCATTGAAATGGATGTCTTCAAAGGTATGGTTACTCCTGAAAAACTTATGTTGGGCACAGTGAGATCGGCTTTTCTAGAGAAAAGGCATGCTTGTGTTTTGTTTGCATTGAAATCTACCAAGTTATTGGATCCCCATTCGAGAATTGTTGCCAAGTCCGTATTTATGTTGTCAACATTTCTCCCACGTTAGTCTCTGATTTGCCTGGCTCTGCCTGGCTGGTATTGGAGTCCTGGAAAAGATGGCGGTATGGCGGGTACTATCATCCGCGAAGCTGTGTACTGGACATGAAGTTGCTTTCAACGAATCGTTGATATGGAGTAGAAATAGTGTTGGTGCTAGAATTGATCCTTGCGAAACACCAGCATTCATGATAAGAGAGTCAGATGAAACTCCGTACACCACTACATGAAGAGACCTGTTTGAGGGAAAACTAGCTATCAGAGAACATAGCTGGGGAGGCAATTCATAAGATAGAAGCTTGGCGAGGAGTCTGTGGTGCCAGACTCGATCGAATGCCTTTGAGATATCAAGTGCCACTGCTAAGGTTTCACCATATTTTTCAACAGATTGCTGCCATATTTATGTGAGACGTAAGCGAGCAGTTCACCAGTTGATCTCTGATGCCGGAAGCCATATAGGTTCACATAATTTTATTTCATGAAGGTAATATATTATTGCAAAATCTCTTGCAACATATATGTAATTCAACCAGTTAGGAAACGGAGATCCCGCCAAATCACTGTGTTGCATAAAAATGCGTTTTCTAACGTGTTACGTACAATATTTTTTATAATTTTGTAGAGAAAAATGTTCTTCAAATAGATCAGATTAATAATTTCAATGAATTAGGAATTTTGTGGGTATAGGTATAATATTTCGCTGTTCAATAAGTTTCCAGGTAAGTTTCCTTCATTCGACAAAATATCGCGTATTGAAATCATTCCTGAAATTCTATATCATTTCTAAGCAAATTTGATTTCGACAATTTTTTCATTCTGATGCACGGTTTCCGCTCAAAACAATAAATACCTTCTCACTGCGTAAACATAACAATATCGTTAATAATATGAAAATATCACAATGCAGAGGAACATAATATTCCCATTTATAGGTGAAAACCGTTATTCGGACTCTGAAACAATTCAAGAGATCAAGTGGTATTAGGTACAGATATTAATAAAAGATTATTCATTTTTGAGAACTTTACCACCCTGTATCTCAAAAGTTGAGGTGTTCAGGTCATACGTTCATATCAAATTTTCTTTTCAAAATGGGCCCGAGAATCGCCTCCTCAAAAAATATTGACATTCAATCAGGAAACACCCAAACACCCTGTATTGTAGTTGGCAAAAAATCTGGTAGATAAGAATGTGCTTTTCAAAACAAACGTCACAGTCTAAATTTGGAACCGATAGTGGCTAATAATATCGTCTCAAACTTCTGAAAAAATGATTCAATTATTTATATTTGTGCTGTTGAATTTATCTTGACCGTGAAATCCTCGGTGAAATCAGTAGACACCTATCAAGTGAACTACGAGGTTTTTACAAATACACAGGATTACAAATACTGTGCTGATGACCTTTCCTCATGAAATGATTAATACAGTGCGTCATTGAGTTCCCGGTTAGTCATTTCAGTGTATTTGAGAAATATTTTTTGAATCAACGTCAAGCTGTTGTTGTTGATTGTTGTGCCTCATTCAGCATAATGAAGTTGAATATGATAAATTTGTTTAATTAATTTAGGTACTTGAAATCCTCACTTCTTTGTGAATAGTGTGTGTTGCCATTGGAAATTGTTATTATTAACTATTAGAACTAGTAGTAGTAGATGTGTCAGTCTTATAGTAGGTATTTTTCACACAATAGTGAAGAAAAATGATTGCTTAGGGCGAGCTTGTAAGTAATGAGAAAAAATACCTACTACTTGCACCTATCTGAACGAATGAAACTTAGTGTCACAACAATATGAAATATTCACAAAACAAATGAAATCTAGGCCACTTTCACTCACCTGTTGATACGGGTAGCCTGGATAGCTCATTTTGTATGGTTTCTGAAACAATTCAAAGATATTCATATCAACAAGCATTATTTCGTGCTTGGTATATAATAGGAGAAAAGAGGCCAACGTTGATGGTCATCAACACTCGATTGAGAATTAGTTACCGATATAATACAATAGTCTATATAGGTATATTATACCAATAACAATACAGCCGGCAATTGCCACACCTATGGAATTCTACAGCAGTTAAATATATTTTAAACAGGTTGTTTGTACTTACTTCCAAAAATCAATATGGACCAACGGAACTGAACTACACCAACAATGTCATATGAGCTTGTTATTACCGTTAACGACTGTGAATTGAATGATATATAGGGTACTATAACAGGGCCTCACAGTTTCCACTTCTACTCCACTGTGTAATGGTAATGCGTGGTGTACCTAGTCTGGCTGTCGCCGACTGCTTTCAGTGTTGCCAGTTCCAAGATGAAAACTTCTTAAATATTCTATCAATAGATTCTCAGTTTCATATTACCAGTGAAGGAGACATTATACCGCTAGTAGTACAGCTATACTGAAATTTGATTAGATGAAATTTATACCTACTGAAATTTACATTATCCGGAATTAAAATGGTATTTACACATCAGGTGTTCTCATCAGCAAACCGCAGTTATCCGATGGCGATTCCTGGCATAATCAAAACTTCAAAACACCCTGTAACAGCTCCTGTCTGCTATGTATCATTATGTTTCTATTGTTGATTTGGATTGAATTGGCTGAAAAGGACTTCGATCAATATAATATATATAGCCATTATTTGAGCTTTGTTGTTCAATAAATGAGTAATTTTTTATTATTATCATTATGGATTGAAGTTTCATTTGATGAATGCAAGACATTGCGATCCAAAATATCGATAAATTAATTGTGCAGCTTCATGGTTTAACATGAAATATCTCGAGAAATAATATAACTCTATATCGCCATGTAGAAATAAGAGTATCGTATTTACGCAGAAAGCATTGAATAATCGAAGAATTGTGATTAAGTGGCAATTCCGCCAGTAGCGTAGAATTTGGGAAGGACGAGTCAGTGAATTGCCCTTGTCGTACGCCTCTGGTAGTAGCAAGAAACGTTTATTTTCGGGTGCATATAATCTATAAAATAACATGAACTCCAAATTCGTTTGGACTAGTTGCTGCCAAGCATCTTTTTGAAATCATTAGGTATTTGATCTTGACCCCAGCAGTTGACCAAAACATGCAACAGCTTTATTACTGCTATACTGCTGCATTTCAAATGTTCCATGTTTCATCACAGAGTTGTTCCCATATCAGAGATATATAGATGAATGTCCGCCTCAAATGAACAGACTCATATATCATCAGTGATGCAACATCAGACTTGAATTAGATATGCTCCTGTGAGATCACAGTGATGACTATGACTCTACAAAGCTCTGTCTATATGGAGCATGCCTGAGATGTTTTTGGCAAATAATAAATATGTGCTCTGCATTGGTTCCATCCATAATCATTCATGAATTTATACTGATTCCACCGTTATAAAATGGAGGATTGGTGAATTATGAAAAATCAATCAATTATTATCAATTCAATTGTTATACATCAGGTGAAATGAATTCTACATAGACATGATGATGGTGTGCAAAGGTAGGCAAATCATAGGTTATAGTACTTATCTTGGTACTGATAATTCACATGATTTACATCAGCAGAGGGGTTCGAAATCGAATTCATCTCAAAGTCCCAATCAGGTCCCAATAAAACAAGAGAGTACCCTGGTGATTTCCAATAATAATAGCAGATTACTGTTGTTCTGGTTCTGATCAGTTTTGTTTTGTGAACAACGATGTATCGTCCATCTGGTGCTGCTGCCCTGCTAATTTCGTAATAGTTATCAAATTGGCAAATTAGCAAGTTCCTTGAAAATATAAGAGAAATAGAGGTTAGGAAAGAACTTATAGAATTATGTTCGTCTTCGTGATGGTTGTTGAACCCCAACTTTGAATTTCACGTACCCAAATTGATGGAAAAGAATACACTTCTTCAATACAAAGAAAAAATTAAAGAGCGTATAAATATAATATATAATAAAAAGTTCCTGAACATTTTTTGACTTATTCGTCAAACTATGTGAAATGTCATCATATTCAACTGACTATTCGATACTCTTAATCAGAAACCGAAAACAACTTGTTATGATCGCGAAAACACCAGCTGTCTTCCAATTTTGATGAGTCTATCTGGGTTGGTGTTTTCAACGATGTAATCAGGGATAACGAAGAAAAGTTTGTCAGTTTGACATTGATCAATTATAGCTGTAGATGAGAATAAATCGCTCCCGTTATATAACTTCATTTATAATGAATGCTTCTTATGCTTCATGAAATAGTATAGCAAAATACCACTCTCTAATGAATACCTTTTCCCAATTATGTTTTTCATTGTTAAATCAATTGTGTTGCCGAGCAACACCACGAGTTTGTCAGGACGACTGTTATTGCTTCGTGTTTCTTGTAACAATATATATTTCCATTTACTTTAGTGGAATAAAGTTTTGCTCAACTTACGTCAGTATTTTGTTATTCATTCACCGTAATCTTGGAACATATTACCAAGGGAGGTTTTCCCTGAGGCAAATAACTTCCAGAAATTTGAGGAGATCACCAATTCCTACCTTATTTCCCTTGGTTCTCACGATGTTCCCTCAACATTACAGAATATCCCTTTTCTTTGGACCAGAACATAAAAATATTCATTGAGTTGTTTCACCGCACTTCATAATTTGAGTTTTGTTTCCCTTGGCTGACAGCCTGACACTATGGGGTATTATTCACGCCGGAGACCATATCCTACTTAACGCCTTTATTGATACATAAATTACTATTTCAGAAGACATTGCTATGAAACCCTCCACTTGATCTTGAGACAGACAACTTCTAACTAATTTGAAATTGATTTTAATATAGAAAAGGACTCTTCACATGCAACTTGCGAAAAGGACACGGTGTCAATGAATATGTTAATAACTTTTCCAGATCAGGGTAGAATGCACATGTGTTTGCATGAAATTTAAAATTCCTACCAAATATTGGGTCGCCCAGTCCGGCCCTGATTACCTATGAAGAATGAGAAACCTGACAAACCATGACTTTTTATAAATGGTGCTAGAAAATAAACCAATCTTGAAACTTTAACTGTCTGTAGATTGGTAACGAGGCGTTTGCGGACATATTTTGATCTGGAAAACAAGTCCCTGAAATCTTGATACTGAATTTTGAAACACCCTTCACATGCGGTTTTGACGTTTTGAAACAAATGTTAACAGCTATTATAGAACCCGAGAAATCGGAGATACTTTTTTCATTGAATTCACTAAAAGTGCTCAGGAGAATATATGCAAAAAAAACTCAAGCCCTCAAAATCGGCTCGAGAGCTGCAATCATTTTTTTCTACAAAGAAAGAGTTCCTTTATCGAACTAGTGCGGAAAAAAGTAAATTTATCACGTTTTTGGAGAGTATACTGGAATATATTCGAATATTCAAAATATATAGTTTTACGGCGTTGTAGTTTCCAAAATGACCTCTTTCAGCCAAGTTCCCATGGCCACGGCTGGACTGAAGCTAATTGCAACTGTTTTCTCTGACAGCAGAGGGCAATCTCCCGATCAACTGTGATTCCAACTCTCCCAGAGAGCTCCCTCAGAAAACTCCTTCAACTTGGCATCGTTACCCCCAAGTAAACAGGCCACTCGCTAACATTGTCTCAGGGCGTTCTTGCAGATGTGGAGGAACGGACAGATCAATGCAGAGCAATGGGGATGGAAATCCGCCCCAGATGGTTTGATACCCATCCGAACCACTCAGTCTCCAGCACACGAGGAATTGCTCAATCCCATTTCCCGCACTGCAAAAAAGGGCGCAAGAAATGCATGTTCCTGTAGAGAACTGGGACTCAAGTGCTCAGCCATTTACACCCACTGCGAGGGGTATGCAAGCCTCCATTTTCAGTCCCTTCCAAGCTGATTCATTTGGACAATTCTGAAATCTGCTGTAGAAATTCACAGAAGTACAAAGATCCGGTCGTGATCCCAACATCGCGTACATCAAGCATCCGATCAATTGCTTATACGGTTTATCAAACGGAATTACATTATCTTCTTTGGAAATTTGCATTTTTGTGTTCATTGGTGTTGACATTGGATGACAGTTTTGCATGTCAAAACGTTTCAAAACATTAATCAAATACTCCTTTTGAGTAATATACAGAGCATTCGTATCTCTTTCAATCTTCAGTCCTAAGAAATTCTTCAACTCTCCAATATCAACCATTTCAAATTCATTTCGTAGTGAAATTCTGAGTCTTTGAATTTCTTTCTCATCTTTCGAGCATAAGATTATATCATCCACATAAAGAACAAGGAAGATTGATATACCTTGCTCAATCTTTATGTATATATAAGCAATGGTCAAACTCCGACTTCCTGAATTTCAAAGTTATCATGAAATTTTCAAATCGTACATTCCAGCATCTGGGAGACTGTTTCAGGCCATATAAAGATCTTCGAAGTTTGCATACTAGTCCTTTTTTGTTGTCGAAACCGTCTGGTTGGTACATTTATATATCTTCTTCGAGAAACCCATTCAAAAATGTAGTTTTCACATTGAGTTGATGTAAAAACATATCATGCTGTATAGCCAACGCGAGGAGTATCCTTATTGTCGTGAGCTCAATAACAGGTGCAAAGGTTTCGTTATAGTCCAAACCTGGTTTCTGCAGAAATCCTCTCGCTACTAGCCGAGCTTTATACCTGGATTTGCTATTTTCAATCGGTTTTCGTTTGAACACAAATTTGGAGCTTATTACAACAGCATCTTCAGGTGGTTCTACCAATATCCATGTTTCATTTTTGGCTAGAGAATGCATTTCTTCCCGAGCAGCATGCCACCATTCAAATTTGTCTGGATAATTCTCTATGTCATCAATATCAGCTGGAACGTTGTCGACAAATGATTCTGCGCATAGAGCAAGGCATGTGGAAT